AAAAAATGGCGGAGTAGAGTTGGAATAGAACTGTAAACATTTTAGACTTAACGTTGGTTTGTCCTTTCTCCCTTGCCACAGGGAGCTTAGGTGTATTGGGTTACACCCATCACAGTGCTCCCGAGTCACTCCCATTCCTTTGCTTATCTGTAACCTCTTTCCTTGTGTTCTGCTTCCCCAACCAGTCTACCACCTTTTTGCCCTAATCAGATTCTGTTAACTTGTAAGGTCAGATCCTTCTAAGGACACTGGACTTGTATTCATAAGTGAAATATCGCTTCTCTCCTTCTCTTATGTCCTCTGGCATAGTTTAAAGCAATGTCCTTTTTGTACAGACACAGGAAGACAGTTAATGCTATGCTTTTGTAACTGGGAGTTAATTGGCTGTGAATAATATTTACTCCTGGGCTTCTGCTTTCTTGACTTAAGCCTCAGTTGCCCTTAGTTCCTAGCACCGCAAAAGCAGGGTCCCAACGAGGGACTGGATGGACCCAGGGCAAGCTATGAGCTATCCTGGCATTGAAATGGGCCAGGCCAAAGTGCCACAAAACTTAACTATAAGTTAAGAGCACGGTCATGGACAAATTCTGTCATGATCCAAAAAGTAACAACTGAATTAGGACCCTGCTAGGGTTAAGAAAGACTAATCTGGCCTGAGCACTGTAGTCTGAGATCTATAGTGAGATGTCCCCAGGAGAGCCATCCTATAAGCTTAGTGTATCTCTTACTGTGTCCATACAAAATAACTAATATTATTGTAGCACTGTCCTCCCGTTGTTCATCAATTTGCTCGAGCATGCACCAGTTACGTCTCCATTGTGAGACTTATTGTTACTGTTTTTGGAATATTGAATACGTCACAGGTAGCTTTCCAGGCTTTGCCGTGCGGGCGGGATACTCTCGGTAGCTAGCCGGGCTCTCTGAGAGGGATGGAGGAATCGAACCCAGGTCATCCACGTGCAAGGCAAACACCCTACCCGCTGTGCTATCACTCCAGCCCCTAATAAGGAGTAGAATTAAGATGAATGTTTTATATGTTTGTTGGACTAAGGAAAGGAGAAACACACCCATAGATGGAATTTTGCTCCCTGGTTCTCTTACCGAATGAGAATTTGTCCTAGAAGAAGCTTCCCCTGTGGGAAGGATTTTACCTCTGTTGATTGTATGACCACACCTGTGTGTAACCCCCAACCCCTCATGCTTTGGGATTTAACTAAGGCTGTAAGAGTCGGCTAGGGGATCCAGAAGGAGGATGAAGTAGAATGTAGTGGAGAATCAGGGAGAATCAAGGGGAACTGGGGAGAATCCAGGACAAGTATGTAGGGGCAGAATCCAAGAGGAGGATGAAGGGCACCAGGGAAGGGGAGGCAGAAGAGAACAGAGACAAGATTGGGATAAGCTGCAATTGATACCAACCAGCCTGGCCCTCATTCTCTCCTTCATCCGTCCATCCCCATCGGCCACCCCGGGGTCGGGGAAGCAGCCCGAGACCACCAAAAGCAGTCAGAGAGAGCCGTGGCTTTCATATTTATTTTTGAATACACAGGTAGATCAAGCACCTGCCTGAGATCATGAGTTTGAGCCACAGAGCCAGCCCGCTTGCCTAGTGCCATCCCTGCAACACCGCCTTTTGAATTCCCAGAGGCAGAATCTGGAAACAACCTGAGTGCCTGAGAACAGACAACTGGGTAAATAACTTTGGTACTTCTACACAATGGAATACTACGCAGCCACCAGGAAAAACGGTCATGAAACTTGCTTATAAATGAATGGACGTGAAGACATGGAGAGTATCAAGCCAAGTGAAACGATTCAGAAGGACAAACAGAAGGATTGCACTCATTTGTGGGATACAAAAAAAACATAGTATGAAACTAATCCCCAAGGACAGTAGAAGTGAGAGCCAGGAGGACTGGCCTATGACTGGAAGCTTGCCACAAGTTGGGTGGGAGGAGAGGGCAGTTAGGAGAGAGAAGAGACCACTGTGAACAATGACAGTTGGAAATGACCACTCAACAAGAACTGAGTGCTGAAAGTAGGTAAAGGGATACATAATAACCTTTCAGTACCTGTATTGCAAACCATAATGCCCAAAAGAAAAGAGAGAAAGAGAAGAAAAGTGCCTGCCATAGAAGCAGACAGGGGCGGGGGGGGGGGGGGACACAGGCGGTTGGCAGAAGAGGGACATTGGTGGTATGAAGGGACAGGTGTTGGAACACTGGATGACTGAAACCTATTCATGAATACCTTTGTAACTGTGTATCTTACGGTGGTTTAATTTTAAAAGATCCATTAGCTGTGGGGATGGATAAACAAATTAATATATTCATAAGATGGGACATTACTTAACAATAAGATTAGACTATACATGGTTGAATCTCAAAAACAATACTAAGAGGGGCTGGAGCAATAGCACAGCGGGCAGGGCGTTTGCCTTGCACACGGCCAACCCGGGTTCGATTCCCAGCATCCCATATGGTACCCCGAGCACTGACAGGGGTAATTCCTGAGTGCAGAGCCAGGAATAACTCCTGAGCATCGCCGGGTGTGACCCAAAAAGCAAAAAAAAAAAAAAAAAAAACTAAAAATATGATGCAAAAGAAATATGACTCCACTTATGTGAAATCCAAGAATAGTCAAATTCAGAAAATTGTAGGAATATGTTGGACTTGCAAGTAATCAACTATAGAAGGGCATAAAGGAATCTGGGGCGGGTAATGGTTCAGAATTTTGTGCAAGGTGTATACAGGTGTATAATATAGGTGTATGTTACTGGTAAAATTCACAAAATGGAAGTATGTATTTCATTGTTAAGAATAGATAATTCGGGAGGCAGGAGAGATAGTGTATCAGGCAGGGAACTTGCCTTGCATACAGTGGACCCAGATTCAATCCCCAGCACCCCATCTGGTATCCTGAGCAGTGCGAGGGCTGATCCTGGAGTGTTGAACCCTCAGCAAAGAAGTAGAGAGAAAAAGGGTGGTTTTTTTTTTTTAGATGTCTATTAGTGAAACACCATGAGGTAGTTGTAGATTTACAAATTTTTTGTGCTTGGGTTTCAGTTATACAATGATTGAATACCCATCCCTCCACCAGTGCCCATTGTCCACCACCACTGATCCCAGTATCCCTTCCACTCCCCGTACCCCCATCCCACCCTGCCTCTGTGGCAGGGCATTCCCCTTTGTTCAGAGAAAAAAAGTTTTAATACAAAGCAAAAATTAAAGAACTAAAGAATTAGGGTAACCATCATCCATCATGGCATCTAATATATTACAACAACTGCCCTCTAGCATTTTTAAAATCAGGCCTGTCTCAAGAACCCAAAAAGATTTAGGACCTTTTGAGTCAAACTGATATCCTCATTCTGGTCTCCATACAAAACTTTGATTTCTCCCGTTCCCATGCCGACAATTTGGTCTTTTCTACCCGAGTCTCTTGTGTCCTTTAACTTCTGTTGATCCTATTTAAGTTCTGACCTTCAAACCCTTTTGTTTGGTGGTAGTGGTAGTGAGGTGTACATTCTGGTGGTGCTCCTCGGGGAACCATAAATGGTGTCAAGGATTTATATCTGGGTTGGTTTCATGCAAGGTAAGCACTTTAATTCCTTTTGGCCCACAAACCACCCCATCTTTTTTTTTTTTTTTTGCTTTTTGGGTCACACCTGGCGATGCTCAGGGGTTACTCCTGGTTTTGCACCAGAAATTACTCCTGGCGGTGCTGAGGGGACCATATGGGATGCTGGGAATCGAACCCAGGTCAGCCACGTGCAAGGCAAACGCCCTACCCGCTGTGCTATCTCTCCAGCCCCGAACCACCCCATTTTTAAGTTAAGAAGCCACCTTCAGTGAAGAACTCCATCTCAGCCCATCTGAGTACCCTACATTCCCTCAACTTTTATGTTCCTTTATGTGATGTATTACTGTATCACGTGAAAGGAGCTCTGAGGCCTTTCACAGACCTAGGTAGGACATTTGCTTTTCTTCTTTTGTTGGTTTTTTTAGTAATGAAGGAACTCATCTCCAACAAAACAGATAGTATCCTTTTTTTTTTTCTGTTCGGTCTTCAGGAAAAGCTTTTTCTGCTCAGTTAGGAAATGGTCAGCAATGAGAGAAGTGGAGCATGTTTCCAACGACCCTTCCTTCCTTCCTTTCCTCCTTCCTCTTCCTTCCCTCCCTCCCTTCCTTCCCTTCCTTTCTTTTCCTTCCTTTTTCTTCCTTCCCTCCTTTCCCTTCCTTTCTCCTTCCTTTCTGCTTCCTTCCTTCCTTCCGTCCTTCCTTCCTTCCTTCCTTCTCCTTCCTTCCTTCCGTCCTTCCTTCTTTCTCCTTCCTTCCTTCCTTGCTTGCTTCCTTCCTTCTCCTTCCTTCCTTCCTTCTCCTTCCTTCCTTTCTTCCTCCCTTCCTTTTCCCCTCCCTTCCTTCCTTTTCCCCTCCCTCCCTTCCTTCCTTCCTTCCTTCCTTCCTTCCTTCCTTCCTTCTTCCTTCCTTCCCTTCCTTCCTTCCTTCCCTTCCTTCCCTCCCTCCCCCCTCCTCCCTAACAGCTCAGGGAGAACCCCAGAGGAGGCAATGGCAGAACATCCAACACGTAAGCAGGGAGGCGCATCACGAACCCCGCGGCTCACCGCCACACACGTGCCGCACCGGAGCAGACGCGCATGCTCGTGGCGGCGCGCTCGCCTCCCGGGCTCCCCAGCCTCCCCAGCGCCCGGCTCCCCGCGCTCCCCGGCACGCGGGCTCCCGGCCCGGGCCCGCGCGGCTCTCCCGGCCCGGGGGAGAGCGTTTCTCCGCGGGGAGGGGGGAGGCCCTTCCCTCCGGGGCGGAAGCGGCGCGGCCGGCGGGGCAGACTCCGCTCGCGTCCTGGGAACATCTGGCGGGGGCTGGGCGGGGCGCGCTTACAGAGCGCGCGCGGATTGGCTGTGCGGGCGGAGGGGCGGGGCCCGGCCGGGGGGGCGGGGCCTGCGGGCCCCCTTTAAAGCCTTGACATCAAGCGCGGCCCCGGCGCCCCCCTTCCCCGCCCCCCGCCCCTGGTCTCCGGCCATGGACCCGGCAGATCCGGCCTGCCCTGGCCCCGCCACACGCCTGACTTCGGTGAGTCCCGGGCCTACTCGGGGGGTTAAAGGCGGCGAGCGGGGGGCGTCTGTGAGCGCCGGACGGGGGTGGGCGGTGGAGGCCCTCGTGTCAGCCTCGGGTCGGAAGGGGCGTCGCGGCTTCCTGCCTGGACCTCGCTGGCGGCCCCTGTGTCGCGCGGCGCCCCTCCCTGGGGTGGGGGGCGTCCGGCTGCGCCGCCGTCTCCCCCCTGCCCCTCCAGCGCCCCCCCCCCCCCCCCGCCATCCTCGCGCACACTCCGTGGCCCCGGAAGGGAAACTTTCGGGCGAGGGGGATGTTCCGGGGGCGGGTCTCCCTCCCGCTTTGAAACCGCTGACCTTGCCCCGGCGGCGCCCCCCACCCCGGCCGCGTCCCGTAGTCCGGGGCCGCTTAGCGGTGCGGGTTGGGGGGGGGGGCTGGCCCCAAGGCGCAGGCGCGGAGGCGAGTCCCGGGGCTCCTCGGCGCGCCGCTTGCACCCGGTGCCCGGCGGGGTAGGGGAGATGGAGCGATCGGGGACCGTGGGAAGGACCCCCGTCGTTGGCTTTGAGGCCTGGGGGTAAGAGGAGGGGAACCCCGCGGCCGGAACACTCAGGAAGACCGAGGGGAGAAGGGCCGGGCAGGGAGGGGGCCGGGACAGCGCACGCAGAAAAGGGCCTCTGGGTCCCCGCTGCGGTGCCAGAAGAATGCGGAGAATTTTCTGTGCCCGACACTCCCCTGGCGTAGCCCAGCTAGGAAGGCGGCTGTCTGAGCCCCAGCCCCCTCTCATCTTATTTTGGACCCAAAGTCCAGCAGTACCTCCGGAGCTGGCATTGCCCCAAGGGCACAGAGGTCCCTCCTTCTCTCAGCCTGCTTTTCAGGTGCCTCGGCGCTATCCTCCCAGCCAGTCCCTCCACTTCTTGGATCCTGGTCCTCCTGAGGCCGTGAAAGTCATCCCTTTAGCACCCCTCTATGCTGCTCCCCCCCCCCCCCCCCCCCCCCCCCCCCCCCCCCCCCCCCCGTCCTCCTGTCTAAGCACAGTTCTCTGCCTGAGGCAAGGTTTGGAATCAGAACCCTGGGGTGGGGGTGGTCTTTGGGGACAGTTATGAGGAGTCCGTCCACCCATTCTCTAATTAGTCGTTTTGGGAGAGACTGAACCTAGCCTGGTTGCTGTTTTGCAGAACCTGCAGCTCACTCCTGGACCCCTGGTCTGATAGGATGCACACAAAATTCATTTCTCATTTTGCTGCCTTGTAGATTGCTAAGCACATCCTGGGGGATAATGGGCTTCCTACCTCAGAGAAACCTGTGTGTTCCTATGTGGAGGTTTTCTTCCGTAGTTTAGTTTTTTGTTTTTCAAAGTCTGTGGCCTTGCATGAGGTGACTGAGGCCCTGAGACATCTTTCTTAAATTCAGACCAATAGAGAGTGAGGACCGGGAGAGGCATTTGGCCCTGGGTGCAGGGAAGACATCTCTCCCACAGTGAGCAGGCAAAAACCAGGCATTTGCTCACCCAGCTGCCATCACTGTGCACCCAGAGCCAGAGCTCTGGTCCCTGCTTTTCCACACTTGCTGTGTGACCTTGGTCAAGACAGTTGCCTCTTGGCACTCTTCCTCTTCTGTAAAAGACCAGCAGCCCAGGGCTGGAGCGATAGCACAGCGGATAGGGCATTTTGCCTTGCATGCGACTGACCCGGGTTCGATTCCCAGCATCCCATATGGTCCCCCTGAGCAACTGCCAGGAGTGATTCCTGAGTGCGGAGCCAGGAGTAACCCCTGAGCATCACCAGGTGTGACCTGAAAAGCTAAATCAATAAATAAATCAATAAAAAAAGACCAGCAGTGGACTGTCTGTAACACTTTCTTACAGTTCTTGATGTTGAGTGGCTCCACTGACAAGTGAACCTGGAGGCAAGAACACTTTTCTGGCAGCATGACTTCGTTTGGGGTAGTGACGGTGGGTGCTGTGATACCTTGGGTCAAGGGGCTGTTCCTCCTGCCTGAGAATGGCCATTGTTCTGCTCATGCCTGGTCCCCCGGGGTGTGACGGCTGGTTGGGGTTGGATCCCCATCTAGGCTGTGACGAGCACCGTCGGATGGCGATGGGAAGGATTAAGAAAGGAGGCAGCTAAGGGCCAGCAGGGTGAGAAGATTCCCTGGAGACAGTTCTGAGCCTCAGCTGTTGGGACTTGTTTTAGGATCTGGGCCAGGGAGTACACTCACCCGCCCTCACGAGGAAGAGGACAGGGAGAGCCCCATTCGCTCGCTCCTCCTGCCCCTCGCCCTGTCTGCCTTATCTCTGCCCTCACACCTTCAGTTTCTAGGCCGGGAGCTGAAGGACTTTTCCCTGCTGCCCTGACTGGTCACACAGGCCCTGCCATGCCAGGGGCAGCAGCGTATAGCGGATACCCCAGCCCCACTTTCCAGCCTCGTTCGTCCGCTCCCGTGGGCAGGGCTTTCTGAGGAGTCAGGCTCTCCAGGTTGGGACTTGCTCTCTAACCCGAGTGCCAAAGGCCCTCACATTCTTGTTTGGTTTCATCCTTTGGTCTCCGAGGCGCTGAGAGGTATATCAAAGGAGCACTGATGGTTAGAGTGGTGGGGTTGGTCGGATACAGGGCTCATTGTCCTGCTCTGCTTCTGCCTCCGCTCGCTCCCCTGAGAGAGCCAGGACCTCTTCCCTGGGCTCTGCTGCTGATAGGAGAGAAGTTGCGGCACAAGGCGTTTCCGTTAGAACCCAGGAAAAGCTGCTGCGCTGCTCAGAGCCTCTGGAATGGAGCACGGCAGCTCCCGGGGAGGCCAGTTTCCAGAAGGGGGTTAATGGTGGAGTCTCTGGCAGTGAAGGATGCGGCTGTTGCTAGGCAGAGCTGCTGTTGCTTCTGGGGTGTGGCTCTGAGACTGGCCAGCAGAGGCTCTCTGAGGAGCAGGAAGAAGGACCCCTGCCTGCCAGCCGCAGAGGGATCCCTGGCCCTCAGCCCTGGATGGCGGGATGAGGTCCCCCACCGCGAATGCCCCTTCGTGCCCCTGTGGCCCCGCTCCCTCCCACCCCCAGGTCACCAGCACCTCCTCCGCTGCTCTGTCACTCCTCACCCGGACCTGGCAGACTCCTCCTGCCCCAGCCTGTCTGCGCTGATGGGCTGATTGGATTTCCTATACTTGGGGGTTTGGGATTTCTGGCTGAACATGCAAATTTATGTAAATCAACGTGGGATCCAAACTATATCAAAACAGCACAGAATCATAGGCTGGAAGGAATTCGAGAGACAGTCTAGTCCAACGCCCTCGTGTTAAAAATGGGGAAACTGAAGTCCAGAGGGGGGAAGTGATTCATGCGTTGAGGAGTGTGCGAGGCGGTCTCCTGCCTCTGTGTAGTGTTGGGCATGGTGCTGCGCCGCCTTCTCTTCTCTGGCAGGAGAGGGGCTGGCCAAGCTTGAAGCAGATTGCACACTGGCCCGGGAGATGCCGGAGTGCAAACCTGGCGCGCAAGAAGCCCCGAGTTCGAGTGCCAGCTCTGCTTGTCCCCCCCACCCCCACCCCCCCCAGCCCTGCCAAGCGTGGCTCTGGTGACTTCCAGCTTCACCGGGTCTGAGCACCATCAGTTCCACGCTGTCAGACAGAAGGTCCTCAAGAGTGGCCCCCCAGGCCCCCAAGCACCACGGAGGAGCCCCCCTCCACCAGATTATGCAGCAGAAAGAACAGCTCCGTTCAGGAGGTTTCTGGGAGGACCAGAGTCCACAGAGCCCCTTCGACTAAAGAAAAGCATCTTCAGATTCTTGAGAACAAACAGCACCTTAATCTTTCCCCCTCGGCCCTGCCATGGAGGGTTGGCAGGCAAGCCGGATGGTGCCTTTCCCCGGGTCTTGTCAGGGCTGGGACTGGGGCTGCACGTTCATTGGCTCCATCTGCACCTCTCCGTCTGCATCTCAGTCTCAGCCACTACTTCCGTCCTGGAAAGAGACCTTAGTCTTCTGTGCCTTTGCCCCCGCGCTCCCGTGCCCTCCTGGGGGGCACTGGCCAGCTGGGTCTCTGCAGGCTTCTGCCATGACAGCCTGGGCAGGACTCGCCGCAGGGAGGAGCTCATGAATTGAGATCAGTGCCAGACATGGAAGGGGGCCGAGGAGAGGGGCTGGGATCCCCAAGAAGCCTCTTCCCTGCTTCTTGACATGTTTGAGGTCCCATCCACCCACCCAGCTCCGGGGTGCCTTCCTCCCCATGCCCCTCCCTTCCTCCGCATGCAGGCGTGTGGCCGCAGCTGTTCAGGGCTCGAGCCTTCACTTACCCTGTGGAGCTGGCAGCCCGCTTCGCAGTACTCTGGGAGAAACTGTGTGGGCCCCAGATCAGAGCCCTGGCTCAGTTTAGGGAGGGAGCTGAGGCAGATATCTGGGTGCTTCCTTCTTCACCCCGTCTCCCCACAAATCCAGATCTGCCTGACTCAGAGAGGTGCACGGCTCCCTGGCTGCAGTGTTTAAAAAGGAGGCTGAGGACTAGTTCTTTCCAGACCGAGGGGAAATCCTTCTCCCTGGACCTCAGTTTCCCATCCTGTGCTGACGGATTAGTAACACATCATCTCTGGGGTGTGGCATCTGCTTGCTAATTACCGTTTTCCCAGCTCTGGGAGTTATGCACATGAAAGAGTCTGATGAGGCCAGGCTGTTATTAAGGTGAATTATCATTGCTGTTATTACTGATTTCTGAAAATCCAGCAGCCACTGAGAAGGGCTCAGTCAGGCATTGCTCGCCGAGTTTTAGCTAGTGCTTGAGCTCCGAGGCGCTCCATCGCCCACTGTGCCTTTGAGATACTGATTTGTACGTGTTTGCTTTCTCGTTCTGGAGCCTCCCGGGTGGTGCTTCGGCTACCTGAACAAAGGTGAGGGCACCCTGCTTACTCTGTGCTCGCAAGGGTTGAGTGGTGGCTGTGCTGAGGGGTCGGTCTAGACCCTCACTCTCCTGCCTCTCCCTGCAAAGACTTGAATCGAATGGTGAGATTTTTCCTAGACCGGCAGTGAGGGGCCCCCGATTCCGTGGGGTGT